GAAATGTTTCTTGAGCAGCAATGATTTCTGAAGGATCACATGACACTGAAGACTGGAGTAATGATGCTGAAAATTCAGCTTTGCCATCCACATGAGTAAAATAGCTTTTAAAATATATTAAATTATTTTATTAAAAAAATATGATATACATTTTATGAAAATATTCAACACAAAACAGTTATTTAGATTGTACTATTTCGCATTATTACTGTCTTTACTGTATTTTTTGCTCAAATGAATGCAGCCTTGGTGACAGGAGAGACTTTCCAAAACATCAGAAAATCTTACCGACCCTAAACTTTTGAAGGGTAGTATATATGTGCATCAGATAAACAGCCATCAACATAAAGTGCTCAGAGAAAACACTGGCTCCAGTTAAACCTCTCTCTCTCTCTCAGTGCTCAGTGCCATGTGGAGTAGGTCAGCGCAGAAGAGAGGTTGTGTGTGTGGATAACCTGGGTGACATTGTTTCTGATGAGGAATGCAACATGGCCCTTCGCCCACAGGACCTGCAGAACTGTGACAAAGGCGTGTGTGCCAGCAGCTGGTTCTACTCTCTCTGGAGCGACAGGGTGAGAAATCTGTGCGCTTATCTTTGCTATTTCGCAATAGCACTTCTAAAATAGCTGTTTTTTGTCTCTCCGCAGTGTTCTGCAGACTGTGCGGAAGGAAGACGCAGCCGGTCAGTGGTATGCATGATGAGTCAGACCAACTCACTGCCACTGGACAACTGCGATGATGAGGATAAACCTGACGAGCTCATGCCGTGTGACCTGGGACCCTGCACACAGCGACTGGAATGGTACACAGGACCATGGGGGCAGGTGCATGAACACACACAAACACACACACGCTGAAAAGTCAAATATTGTATTTTTTTAACCCTTGGTCTGTGTTGAAAATACCTAATTTGGTGTTCCCGGTCAAAAATTACCAGCCTTTTTAAAATTGCTTGTAAATCTGTCATTACACTATATTATCATCAAATTTTTTTTTTTTTACCTTTATTTGCGTGTGTGTGTGTGTGTGTGTCACAGTGCTCGTCTGAATGTGGCAATGGCACCCAGAGTCGAGGTGTGGTCTGTGTTGTCCAAAACAATGGCCAATTAGCAGTCACCTCAGATGACCGCTGCTCTCATCTGCCCCGTCCTCCCAGTGCACAGACCTGCTTTTTGAAGAGCTGTGGAGCACAGTGGTACATGACGGAGTGGAGCTCGGTGAGGGTTTCTCACACACAGTGCAACTTTAACCACATTATTTCAACTCCACTTATGTAACAGGGATGTTTCTGACTGCCTCAGTGTTCTCGTTCTTGTGACGGAGGCTTTCGAGTGAGGGAGGTACGTTGTCTGCAAGATGATCTGACCACCAGCCATGACTGTGATCCTGCTCTTGAACCTGCCAAACAGGAGAAGTGTAACACACACACCTGCACGCCACAGATTGGTATGATTTTCTTACGTTTTATACATTCTCTTTATCTAGTATTGTTAAACATGTTGCACACCAAAAATGATCATTCTGTCATCTACTCTCCTTTATAATCATTAGGGCTGGATATCAATTTAGATTTCCCAAATCGAATCTTAATCAAAAGCTCCCGATTTATTTTCCAAAACATTTGTGTATATTTCAGTTATTTCCATTTTTTTTTTTTTACATACTGTTATTTTAGAAAGAATTCTCTCTCTGCTAATGCTGTGAATTATTACGGCCAGTCTTTCACAAATCATTTAAACCAGTAGCTCGAAGTCTTGTTAACTAAAACTGTTAAAAATCATTTTCAGTAATTGAAATAAAGCTGAATTAAAATTTAAATATCAGATGAAAACCATACATTTAAATGAAAATTAGAAATGTTGTCTTGGCAAATAGCCAAAATATGTTCAAATGTGTGTGTGTGTGTGTGTGTCACAGTGCTCATCTGAATGTGGCAATGGCACCCAGAGTCGAGGTGTGGTCTGTGTTGTCCAAAACAATGGCCAATTAGCAGTCACCTCAGATGACCGCTGCTCTCATCTGCCCCGTCCTCCCAGTGCACAGACCTGCTTTTTGAAGAGCTGTGGAGCACAGTGGTACATGACGGAGTGGAGCTCGGTGAGGGTTTCTCACACACAGTGCAACTTTAACCACATTATTTCAACTCCACTTATGTAACAGGGATGTTTCTGACTGCCTCAGTGTTCTCGTTCTTGTGACGGAGGCTTTCGAGTGAGGGAGGTACGTTGTCTGCAAGATGATCTGACCACCAGCCATGACTGTGATCCTGCTCTTGAACCTGCCAAACAGGAGAAGTGTAACACACACACATGCACGCCACAGATTGGTATGATTTTCTTATTCTTTATACATTCTCTTTATCTAGTATTGTTAAACATGTTGCACACCAAAAATGATCATTCTGTCATTTACTCTCCTTTATAATCATTAGGGCTGGATATCAATTTAGATTTCCCAAATCGAATCTTAATCAAAAGCTCCCGATTTATTTTCCAAAACATTTGTGTATATTTCAGTTATTTCCATATATATTTTTTTTACATACTGTTATTTTAGAAAGAATTCTCTCTCTACTAATGCTGTGAATTATTACTGCCAGTCTTTCACAAATCATTTAAACCAGTAGCTCGAAGTCTTGTTAACTAAAACTATTAAAAATCATTTTCAGTAATTGAAATAAAGCTGAATTAAATTAAAAATAAATATTAGATGAAAAACTTAAAACTTGAATGAAAATTAGAAATGTTGTCTGGGCAAATAGCTGAAATATGTTTAAATAAGTTTGAAGTGCTAAAATCACTAAAGCAGAAACAGAAATAAAAATCTATATAGAAATAAAACAAAAACTAATAAAAATGACAAAAAACTAAATTACTTAAAATTAAATTTAAATAGAAAACTCAAAATATAAACATTAAAGTTAATTAAAAATAATACTAAATATGCTACAATAGTATAATTAATACAGTTTTTGAACTATCCATTGACAGAGCTGGAATTGTGCTGCACTAATGCTGTATGTTTTTGATTTACTAAAATGTATTGGCTCATAATAGCCCGCCAAAACAACACACAATACAGAAGATCACTTGCTACTGCTGTTATATTGCGACTTGTTTAAATGAACATTGCAATTAATCAAAAAACCTGTATTTTTACCCAGACTTTTTCCAAACCCATATTTTTTCCTCCCGTGGAACAATAAAGGATATCTTAAGCTGAATGCTTCAATTGCTCTTTTCCATACAATGAATTAAGGTGAATGAAGGCTGTATCTACCAAGCTCCACAAAATGAAAAAAGAAAGAAAAAAAAGCAAGTTTAAATTAGCTGGCACTCGATGTAAAAAAAACAAAACAATAATAAAAAAAAAAACATATAACAATATGAGTATGAGAGATGAAAGAATTTTAATTTTTGGGTGAACCATACCTTTAATCTCGTCTCTCTCTCTCTCTCTGTAGATGAGTCCTGCAGGGATATGTACTATAACTGTGTGGTGGTGGTCCAGGCCCGTTTGTGTGTGTACTCCTACTATCGCACCACATGTTGTGCATCATGCTCTCGGGTCATTCAGAGAGACACACTGCATAGAATCAGGTGATCTGGCCGCCTTGTTGTTGGGATGTGACACCACCGCTCTCCTTCCCTGAATGATGACGTCCATGTCTCATCATGACATCATCCCCCACCTGTTTTCAGCTGGATCTGACCCTGAGATGACATCACTGTTCAAAGACTTTACTATATGTTCACTGCCCGTCTTTTTTTAAAACACAAAATGAGAATGCTCCATGAGCAAATGAATATTTATTGCAAATAAAAACAACCAAGCCTCTTTTACTTCATTCATCATGTTCAGTAATGTCTAAAAATGAGCAATGACAGATTTCAAATTCCTCTTCACATTTAAATGGTTATTTATATGACTAATAATTTACATCTAAAGATTCGAAATAAACCCTTTACAAAATCTTTAGTATTTATCTAAATATTAAATCTAAAAACTTTATAAAAGGGGTTACAAAAATTACACAAAACCTGATGGTGAAGGTGAGAAAATGTAGAAAAGACATCAATTCAGTGAGATATTCTATTTGACAAATTTAAAAAAAAAAAAAGTTCATTCGTACAATAAAACAAAAGTTTCAAATTACACTAAACCATGCTTGTCATATATCATCTTGGTCTAAAGTATTTTTGTCACTGGTGTTCTGAAGAAACGATTAGGGTCATTGCAAAGAAATAAAACCAATTATAAATATTTTATTTGTGTACTGACTCCAATTTGTCATGAAATGGCCCCTCAAAAACTAAAATCACATCCATGTGTAAATATTTTTCAATTTCAGTCTCACAGAAGCGTATCAGAAATAAAAAGCATGCTTGTGTAGCTTTTCATGATACATTGTTCCAAAGCAGCTTTACAGAGAAATGAAAAACTCAGCTGGGGAAACACACCTCCTCAGGGTTTCTCATATTTAAATGCATGCAGGAACATACAATATATCTAGCCCTGTGCTGCATCCCTTTACAGAAATAGACCACTGCTGCCCTCTAGTGGAGGCAAGAGGACACGTTTAAATTCTGTATAATAACCAGTTTATTATACTATATTTGCCAATATATTTGACCGAATAAATTAATAAAATTTGTGTTTTTAATTGTTTTACTCACAAGAATTATTTATCTTCAAAAAAGATACTTTGAGTATCAGTTTCCATCCATTTAACTTGTCATAATAATTGTGACATTTGTACTCGCTTACTCAATGTATTGCATTGTACTTCAACATATGCAACATTTCTCAGCTTTAAAGGTATACTGGATCATTTAACATTAAATTAGATTCTTTATTTTATTCTTTATATATTTATCATCTAATATTATATTAGTCCATTTACGTAAATAAAATGAATAAATTATCCCAAGCCAAGTAATCTAAAAGAATTTATGCAAATAAATCTTTGAACATTTAGAAAATACAGTTTGTTAGGAAAACAGAATTTAAGCACCTATTTTACAGTTTAATGAATACATAGAAATAAAGAAGGAACTTCAGGTATTGCACTATAGTCGGTTAATAAAGACATTCACATGACATCCCTCCCTCCAGAGACTTTCATTCACACTCAGTCACTGCCTGGAGCAGAAGCTCATCAGGTACCTCTTCAGTGGCCCTTTCTACTTCCTGCAGAGCTTCCAGGTAAGCAGGGTCATCAGGCCACTCTCCCCAATCCTGAGCCTGAGGAGCCGAGGAGGACTCTGCTGAATCAGTCGTGGCTACGGAGCTCTGAGCAAGCTCAATGTTCCCCAGTTCATCCGTTATATATGCCTGATCCTCTTCATCCTTAAGTAAAGAAAGGCACACAAGTCAATACACAAATATGTACTCGACCTAATGTATGGTTATGTAAATTACAAATCCCGATAAGTTGAATCCTGACTGACCTCCATCAGCAGGTGGCTCATGCAGACCTCTTGAGGCAGTGGGAAGCCTGGAAACCTGAGCCTGAGGAGCCGAGGAGGACTCTGCTGAATCAGTCGTGGCTACGGAGCTCTGAGCAAGCTCAATGTTCCCCAGTTCATCCGTTATATATGCCTGATCCTCTTCATCCTTAAGTAAAGAAAGGCGCACAAGTCAATACACAAATATGTACTCGACCTAATGTATGGTTATGTAAATTACAAATCCCGATAAATTGAATCCTGACTGACCTCCATCAGCAGGTGGCTCATGCAGACCTCTTGAGGCAGTGGGAAGCCTGGAAAAACATAGAAATGCCATAAAATTACAATCAAACCCTCTTAAATGTTACATCATTCCCCACAAACATTCCATATCAAGCCACACCTTAGTGTTATTTATAAACTATTGTAGCATTTATTAATATTTTTTGTTTTAATTTTAGTTTGAATTGTATGTGCTTTTGTTATTTTTATTTGTTTTAATATTTCTATAGTTTAATTTATTTTTATACCAGTTTTAGTCATTTTAGTACTTCAACTTGAACTTAGCCAAAGAAACATTTAATATTCATATTTTATTTCAGCTGTTTTTTTTGTTTTTTTACAAAAAACAATTTTTAATAGTTTTAGTTTTAATTAACAATAACAACACTGCATCTATCAGATGTCCATCTGGAAGCGATATTAACTATAGCAAACAAACCGTCACCTCTAGTGCAGTACAAGCTACAGTATATTACAGCTATATAGTAGCTATTAAGTAAGGTTTTATGTGGTGCTATTTTTTATTCCTCTGTGGAGCGTACTGGAGGATCTGTAGTTCTGTCTCCTGCACTCAGGGTCATGGCATCTCTGATACCACACTTCTTCTTTGAGGTCCACCACAATTCTATGAAAAGAAGAATTAAGAGCATTTGTAATTTGTTAGACCATCAAACAGACCATGTAAAGCAATGCAAATCACAGCGATAGAGACTCACATGATGTTGTTGCTCTTGTGAAAGCGCTTCACATTGTGGCACCAGCGGAATTTCTCAATATCATAAACCAGCAGCTGTTCAGATGCAAAGTAGTTCCATCGCCGGATGCCTGTGACATTCAGTTAACAAAGCATTCAGCTGAAATGATTCCTTTTGTGAAAAAGTGCTTTCAGCAACACGAGGGCGAAGAAGTTTCTTTCATTTGAAACAAACTAACTGAAAGCATGGCACCATCTCTTTTTGTTACTGTCACTCACTTCCTTGAATACCATCCTTGCACACGAGTGTCAGCACAAATTCATCCACCTCTTTAAATGGAGACTGCTTCTGTTCACCCAACAGATCTATATGGAGAGGGCAGAGTGAGAAGTCTCTGCTTGTAGTTAACTGTCGATGCAAACAGTAAAGCATGACATTTAACTTAAGCAGGGTGGGAAATTAACTTTTTTTGTCCAACAGCCCAATAGGACTGGTTAATGTTCAATTTCATTTATATTTAAATGCACATTTTATACTGTTTGTATTTAAAGGTGCAATAGGTGATTGTCTTCAGAAACATTTTTTGTTATGCTGGTTGAAAGTCTCTTCACATCCCGATAGCAATCATTAAGTTAAGTGCTCGGTCCGGGCGTTTTAATATGCTTTCCTACCTGCCTGTCAACGTATGTATTAGCATACCTCTGCGCACCCGGTTCGCGCAGACAGGATACTCATCAGCGCGTTCACGCACGCTGTGCCGACAGAGCGAGGATGGCAGGCAAACATCAACAAGCCGATCTTCCTTCCTGGTATTGTAGTACTTTTAAAGATTTCTCACTGGTGAATGACACATGATGTAGCCCAGCGGTTAATCCAGTCCTCGCGCCAGCTCGTTAGAAGTGAGCTACGTGCATGAACTGTGTTCCGATCGATATGATCCCTACACAGAGTTCATTGCTCCCTACTCCCTGAACAGGGAAATCCGTTTAAGTTTACTTCACTTCGGAACATGGGCTGGAATTGGGAACCTGATGTAGCCTATTGTAGTAATGTTGTCTCTGGTCTGTGAGTGTAAATGCGTTCAGGGGGCGTGGCTTTGGACGGCGATTGCAGGAAGGGTGGGACGTTCGCTTTCAGTGCTATCAGGCTAAAGTTAGCATTTTCCAAGATCTCCTATTGTACCTTTAATGCACATTTTAAGTGAACCACATTGCTGCACTGACCTGAGATGGTTAATTCTGAGTTAATTTGCTCACAAATCCTGTTCTTAGAAACCACTGAAAGCACTTGGGGATGTCAATTTGTACTTCTCATTACTGTCAGGGTTATTTTCTGTTTTGGTTTAGTTCTGTGCTCCTTGTTTAATTTGACCCAGTTTCCCTCCACTCATTTGTTTCCATAGTTACTCATTAGTTCTCACCTGTTCTGATTCTGGTAATCATCTATATAAGCCCTCAGTTTTAGTCAGTTCCTTGTCTGGTATTGTTTGTATGTTTCAGTTGTTGTGTCATGGCTTCTCCTGAGTATTTCCATTGGATTTATTATTAAAGACTGTAAGGCCCTGTCCACACGAATGCGGTTATTTTTATCGTGTAGACAGCGAAACCAGAGTTTTTGGCTTGTGACGTCGGAGCCTGCGCTGTTATCTCCGCCTACTGGAAACTTTTTCAGGCTTCTGATTGGCCAACATGGCTTTACGGTTGAGATTATATCGCCACCTGTTGGTTTGGCATGCTCTTGACAGTGCTTCATAGCATGCGTTTGCGTTTTCATGTGGACGGAGAGTTTTTTAAAAACGGAAGGAACAACTCAGTTTATAAAAATACCCGTGTACGTGTGGACATGGCCTTAGTTTGACTTCTCCTGCATTCTGTGCTTGATCCTGCACAACACGTTACAATTACCAGAGCTGTGTGACTCTCTCTGAAGGGTCGAACACTGAGGTCCTGCTGCACTCTTCTGTGGCTTATCATACGTCAAAATCCTCTGTCCTGTGAAACTGATGCAAACCAGATATGTGTGTTAGTGTGTGTGAAAGCCAATATTCTAAAACGAAAATACAATCACAAAAAAAGCTGGCTCCACCAAAGTGTGGACAACATGTTTACACAAAGATGCTGCATATAAATAACCTGATATTGGTGATTAAAGAAGCTAGAAATATGCGTTCTTCTTTTGTGGTGTGCTTGGAGGGCTTTGGGACAAACTTGTTGTCTTCTGCCACACAGAAGGCTGCATTCTTTCCCAGTTTGGAGGACTTGTAGAGACGGAAGTTTCTGTTCTTGGTGTAGACACCTTAAAAAAGAGGAGAGAATGTTATGAAATTATATTAATAATATATTAACAAACCCTTGTGAAAAAGTGTTTTCAATTGTATTGAATGTTCATTTGTAGTGTATTTTTTAAATTTACTTATTTTAATTAAATAAAAGGCCACTTAATTGTAATTAGAGTACACTTTCAGAACTATGCTTTTAACACACTTAAGTTCACTTTATAATGTCAAATTAAAACGTTTACTTTTAAGTACATTTTAAATCATGTTTTTGCTGTGCTTTAAAAATCGTACACTTATTTTAATGTGTTGACTAACATACTAAAGCACATGTAAAGCACTTGATAATTTTAACTGTAGTTTGTAATTACACTTAATATCTTTAAATGTACTAAATTTCATCTTTAGTTCATCATTACAAATGTGTAATTACAAATATATTTAAATGCATGACATACAAGTTTCAATAGAAATGACATTAAAGCATATTTTAGTTTACCAAATCTTAAATGTACTTGTCATTACATTTGACAGTTCATTTTAACCATATTTCAAAGACAACAGAGAAGTAATTATGAAACTACATATACATATACATGTACTTATGTCTTACTGTAAGTGGGTCAAAAAAAAAAAAAGTAATATAAATTTTATAATTTCATTAAATTAATTTTGCATCTAAATATATCCTTTTAAAGTATATTATTCCCATAAGTGGTTTAAAAAAGCACTCTAATGTTCATTAATTGTATTTAATATATATTTAAACTATATGACATTTTCATTTAATTGTAATGAACATGCATTTAAGTACTCCCTAAACATTGCATTCAGATTTCACTTAAGTATATTATTTAAATTTATTTATTATTTCTGTAATAAGTATTCTTTTTAAAAATATGCTAAAGTATACTTCATTTTCAAAACAGAACATTTAATGTGTTTAATCTATTAATTTAATAGCTATTTATTTAACAGCTAAGAAATCACAGTCAACAGCAGTCCTTTAAAGTCCTCCTTTGCAGACTAAAGAACAAAATATTAATTCTTACCCAGGTCAACAAAAAGTTGTTTTTGTCCATTTTTGCTCTTCACTATCAGAAAGTCAAGATCCTTCTCTTCATACTTTCTTCTCTTGGCCTGAGAACCGTCCACATCATCTCTGTTCTCTCTTGGACAAACTGCTGTTGTAGGTGCCTCTGGATTGCTTTAAACCAAATCAAACCAATATGCTATTATAACAGAAACAGAAGGATGTATAAATGCAGAACACTACAACGACATAAAAACATGAGGCTGTGAGAAACAGAATGAGGGTTTTTACATAAAACAAGAGGAGCAATAAAGAAATCAGTTCTAAGTACTGAGTTTGCTCACAGCTTGCAATGCTTGACATCTCACCTTTTTTGAAGTCTTTTTAGAGCAGGATGTAGGATATCAAGAATAAATCGCCCTGCAAACATGCACACACACACACACACACCACTATCACAGATTGCAACAAATGTTGAAATATATGCATCATCAACCAAGTAGTCACTAATAGTACATGATGATGAAATGACAATGACTCACCTACATGAGAGTTGTCTTTGAATGCAGCATTGGGAAGCATGAAGATAAGATGGCGACTAAACTTCTCAGAGGTGCTGGAGTCTAGATTAAGGACGTCTTTTGCAGAGCAGCATACACCATAAACCTCCTCTAGCTTCTCACACACATACTGTTATTGTATATTGAGGAAATTACACATTTAGTTTTGAAAACTATAGTTTCTGATGTCCATTTACTAGCACCAACATTTTTTTCTTATTACTAGAAATCAGCTCTTTTGTAGTATAACACATTCAAAAGTTTGGGGTCTGTGACATTTTTCTTGTTTTTGAAAAAGGTCTTTTGAACTCACAAAGGCTGCATTTATTTGATAAAATGTACACTATAAACAATAATAGTGTGAAATATTGTTATAATTTAAAATGATGTTTTTCTAATTTAATATCGTTTAAAATGTAATTTATTCCTGCGATGGCAATGGTGATTTTTTTTTTTTCAGCAACCATTACTCCAGTCTTCAGTGTCACATGATTCTTCTCAGAAATCATTCTAATATGCTGATTTTTTGGCACTCAAGAAACATTTATGATTATTATCAATGTTGAAAACATTGTGCTGCTTAAAGGGATAGGGAGGAGAAGACTGAAAAGATGAGGCTCTCTGCTCCACAGACTTCAGCCTGTCCTGCCATTTTCCTCCCGTCATCCTTGCCTCAAAACACTGGTTTATGAGTTTATGATTAAATCTCACTCATGCTCTGTGATGTGATCAGCAGAGGACAGTAAAGAGCTCAGGAGAAATGAAGTCACCTGTAAACAGTTGAAGGTCCATCAGCAAATACACAGTGAATGCCTCTGATACAGCAGATCATAACAGATTTCTCTAATACATGGATATTATCAGGCAGTGAAGGGTGTACATATTAACTCTCAATAAATGTGTCGATTTTCTAATCCTAAAACAGACAAAGAGAAAGAGAAAGAGAGAGAGAGTGAGAGTGTTTCTGGGCCAGTTGCATAAACATAGCCACTATGTTAAGACTGTGACTAGTTTGACTGACTTAGCAGTTAGTCTCCCTTTTCTGATTAAAATTGGGCCAATCTACATTTTTGTCAATGACTTTAAACAGATATGACCAATCTAGAAGAAAGCTAATTAGATGGCTAACTTTTTAAGACTAGTCTAAGCAGTTTATGCAACCGGCAGACAGTAGATATAAAACTAGCAGTTTTAGTTTTATAACAGCAGGTTATAAAACTTATACAATGTATAATATGTTATTTTTATATTCTCCCCTGTATAAAAAAGTACATTTAAGAAATGAGTGCACCTGGTTCGGTCGCTTATTTGTATTCTTCCTTTATAGTCCTTTGTTATTTTGTTGTTGTATATTTACAGTCTGAAGCATTTCCGTTTCTGAGGAACGCGCGTAACTGCGCGTCATAGGAATGAAGCGTTGCGCATGCGCTGGAACCGAGCGCGAAGCGGAACTGCTTTGGGTCATGAATATTAATAATTCGACACCCTCGTCATTATTTGACGTTATTTTGTCTTTATGTCTAATTGTATGTATGTTTTATTTTTTAGAGATTAACACTATTTATGAACGTTATTGTACTGTTATTATGGAAGGTTTAATAAAAACGAAAAAAAAAAAAGTCAATACCTAATTAATATTCATGAGCGCATCTCTTGCGTAATGCGTATGTCGCCGTGCATTGGTTGTGGCTAGAAGGGCTACAGCATTTAAAAAAATATATTTTTTTACCTGTACTATTATTTAAATTATATTGTATTTTTTCTATTTCTTTGTTGTAGTTTATATTTGTTCAATACCTTTATATTATATGTTGAAAATCAATAAAAAAAAAATTTAAAAAGAAGGGATACAGCTCCGACCGGAAGCTAACAATAAATGTAATTTTATACCTATTAGATTGTGTTTTATTAACGTCTACACCTACCCCAACCCTAAACCGACCCCTTACAAGAATTAAAAAATAGTAATTATTGTTGTACAGTGTGACAAAAATTACGTTGTATTGATGTGCGCATGCCCAGTAGCGCCATACGTATCCCTTCTAGCCTTAACCCGGTGGCATGCCGGGATTAGTGCGGCTATTTGGCGCGTTATTTTGAACGAAGTATGGAGTTGATACGTGCGCTGCAGTTATTAAAATTAAACAGTGTGTCTTCAGGTATGATTCCATATTTGTCACGAGCATGTCCTAGAAACAACTGCTAAATGAATTTTGAGATTCACTTTGTGTACTGTTGTATTAAACCTCGAAATATCTTGAGCGCTGTCTGTCATTCCGGGGGATTGTTTTGATTTCGGTTCATGGTTTGCTATATGTGAGATTTTGACGCAAAACTTTTTTATTTTACCATAGCAGAAAAAGAGGACCTAGGAATTTTAACTACCCGTTCAAACTGTCACAGTGTTTATAAAAAGACCGAAAACAGTCAGGGTGACTTAACTTATATCACTAAATAGTGTACTTCGCGTAATCATTGTCTGTCTCAGCTAAATGAGCTGCCTGCAGCATTTTGGGGCATTATTAGTCAGAGTGTACTTATTTTGTTGACATGTTTCAGCCTGGGTGGATGCAGTGTGGGATTTTGAGTTCACCCACACAGACCCTCTTGACCCTGTTATCGAGGAGGAGATAAAGGAAGACCCTGATGTGTTCAAAACGATTTACAAGCAGCTTCTGCCCTTCTCCAATAAGGATGATGACAATACACAGGTATGACGTCATGTGATGATGCTGTGATTTCTTTCTGCTTCACCCCACAAAATAGCAAATCTTTGTGATGCAGTACCTTGCTTATGATGTTTGTTTTTTTCCCTGCAGAGTGTCTGGCTGGTGTTTGGTGAGAATGGTGTCTCTGCAAAACCATTGGTGGCTGTCCTGTCCTATTTCATCCTTAGTGCTAAAGCCAAAAGTCCCAGTCTTGAACAGAGACTATGTGGTCTACAGGCAGCCTCTCTATACTTGTTGCTGCTAAAAATTCCAGGTCAGATTCCTATTAAGGTAAAATAGTAGCAAAACTCGAGAGCTTGATTTGATGGTGAGAACTTGTCATATTCATATTCGTATTTGTAAGAAATGTACACTCTGAAAAGCTGAATCTTTCGAGTTGCACACACAGACAACAATCAAAACACCCGTGTTTTAAATTCAAACCCCTTGTCCAAATACCCACACTTGCGGTCTTGGCCACTTGAGAGCGCGTGCGCGCGACAGGAAGTAAGTGTGCAAGTCTGTCCCATGTCTTCAAAATGCCAAAGTGCAGTGCCCTTAATGGATACTAAATCCACACTATCTCGAATACCGCTCCAGAGCGCTATTCAAGGCTAAGTGTATCCCATCATGCATCATGTTCTGGAAATAAATCGTGAGACTTTTAGCCGAAATCTCACGAGAGGTCACGGAAACCTTTCCAATGTAAGTTAAATAATAATATAATAATTAGATATTACAAATAATTTGGTAGAAAAACAGTGTTCCACAAATTAAAATTGTCATGTTATAGGGACTACTGAACAGACTTTAGAAGTTGATTTTAAAATGCAAAGTATTTCAAATTCAAATTAAAATAAATCTCTGTAAACACTTGCATTTTTACAACACTATAAGTGTGTCCCATCAGGTAATGAAAAGTTCGACACACACTTGTGGTCTTCACACCCACTTGAAGACTTCGGCCAAATACAGGAAATACATCATTTAAGTAATCAAGTGGTCAAGTGCAAAGACTGCAAGTGTGGGTATTTGGACAAAGCCAAAGTTATCAAAGTTGCAGATTAATCTCGGGTGTTTTGAAAATTGTGTGTGCAAATCGAAAGATTCAGCTTTTCACATCAGATCTGTGAGTGTAAATTTAAACTGACAAATACAAATATTAATATGACCAGATCTCACCTTCAAATCAACAAGCTCTAGAGTTTTGCTACTATTTTACCTTCATAGTTTCTATCCCTTGCATCTGGCTGCAGTGCTGAAGTCCTTCCTAATGCATGGCATGGCACTGATTTCCGGTTGATATGCCTGTATGAATTTATTTAATGTTTTTGTTTTTGTACATCTTCAGGGAGTGTTGCGAATAAAGTGTATCATCAGATTCTTTTTGATACCTGTCTGAACATGCCCCTGAAATGCTGGCCTCAAGACTCTGGCAAGAAACGCAAGAAAGATACTTTGAAAAGCTCTCAAGGTGACCCCAAAACAGGCAAACGATCCAAACCCCCAAAGAAAGTGTCAGAAGAGGTATAGAATTTTGCTTTTGCTTTTTTGTATATGTAACTTTTACACTCATCATCTTAAAAAAAGTGTTTTTTTCCTACACTGACACATTGTTGAAAGAATTCCAATCTGTCTGTCAATGTGACAGTGGTGTCATGTATTTTGGCGTTTTGTTTCCCAACAGATGGAGATTGATGACGATGAAGATGATGAGGAAGAAGGGGTGTACTTTTCTCCACAGGATTTGCTGAAACTAAGAGAGGGCATTGTCTTGCTGGTTCGCACACTTCTGAGGCTCCTAGAGAGATTTTCGCTTCGAGACAAACCTCAGAGTGCTGACAGCTGTGTTCAGGTCAGTAAATGATGCTTTCACATGCCAACTTCACTCAGCGCTTGTGTGCTACTTGTGGTTGTGTTGGGGATTAGCATGAATCTTAACGTAGTTTTTGGTACAGCTGTTCTTTTTTGTTTGTTTGTTTATTTAAAGGGGTCATATGATGCGATTTCAAGTTTTTCTTTCTCTTTGGAGTGTTACAAGCTGATTGTGCATAGATAAGATCCCTGAAGTTGCAAAGACTAAAGTCTCAAAACCAAAGAGATATTCTTTATCAAAGTTAAGACTCTGCCACGCCCCCCTAAAACGGCTCGTTCTAACACACCCCACATATCTAAGGAGGGGGCTTTGTAGAAAACGAAGCGTTTGAGAGAGGCGGGGCATATAGGACCTTCAATAATGTACAGTATTTGAAAAATAATGTGTTTTTTGAACATTAAAGCATGTCAACATATTCTGTTACACCAAATACACAAAATAATGATCTTTAAAAAAGCATCATATGACCCCTTTAAAAAGCCAATTTGACCCCCTTTGCCATCTTGAGAGTATTAGGTCATTAGTTAACAGGTTCTTAGAGCATATAAAGCAATGTTGATGTATAGATCTGAATATGGTTGAATACTTTCACACATTGATAATAACATTTGAAGCCTTTAAAAAA